CTTCATCAAGAAATACATTCAATATGCTAAGCGCGAGAAGCCAATCCTTACGAAAGGCGCTGCGGATCATATTGTGGCAACGTACTCTGCACTACGAAACGACGAGCTAGACGCCGGTACCCGCCGTACTTCCCCCATCACCGCACGTACTCTCGAAACACTCATCCGTCTTTCCACCGCCCATGCAAAGGCACGTTTGTCGAAGCGGGTTGAGCAGAAAGATGCAGACGTCGCAGAGCAGATCCTCCGTTTTGCCTTGTTCAAAGAGGTCGTCGAGGACGACCGCCGCAAGCGAAGACGGACAGTCCGCGATCCAGACGCTATGTCTACAGACGGAGAATCGTCCGGTGGCGACGACGAGGACGGGGATGAGCAAGAAGCCACACAATCTCGCCGCACCGGTGGGCCATCGACCCGCAGCCAGCGTACAGAGACCACGCGCACTCCTGCAGCCGAGGAGGAAGGCGGCGAGGAAGAAGACAACGAGGACCTTTACAATGTCACGCCGAGGACCCAACGCACGACTGACCGTACACAGTCCTCTCGCGCTGGTCAATCGTCGCAGGTCAGCGCGGCTTCTTCACAACCCGAGTCGCAACTACCCGCTACACAAACCGAATCGCAGGAATCGCAAGGCATTACACCAGCACGTCTGCAGGTATTCCAAACAGCACTTGGTCAGCTCATCGACGGTCCGCTATTTGCAAACGATGCTGCAGATGTCGAGCCGCTGGTTGCCGCTGTAAACGCAAGACTCGGTGGTGGTAATGGACGCGAAGCGTTTGACGAAGATGAGGCCGAAAAGGCACTTGAGGCTCTGAGCGAGAGGAACAAGATCATGTACTCTGGAGGTATTGTGTATAAGATTTAGAGAGCTTGGCTTGCGATTCGATACATGATCAAATGTGGATATGATGCGATGATCATTGATTTCGTTATCAGTCCGGAGTCCCATGGCGTTTTTGATCGGAACTCGGATTCATTGGCGCGATTCAACGATTCGTTACTTCAAACTCGAAGAGTTCCTCGATATAAGCATGATCAAGTGTTGAGATTTGAAAATTGACCAACATTCCTACTCCTGTTTTCTCACGATGTTTACCGCTGGTCAGGCAAGACATATTTGGGGACTAGAACGCTCGGTTGCTGACACCCCCAATAAGGGTTTAGCATATAGGACCGGAATGATGGGGGGCCAAGATGCAATTAGACACCCTAGCCTTGTACACCCCGAACATAAATGGATACTGTTTGACGGTCTCTTAAAATCTAGCTTAACCTCCGTCCTTGTGGGCTAACATGTTTTCGTAAACAACTTCGCGAATCGGTGGATGTACCAACCATGCGCCTCACCGTCCCCCTGTTCATCTTATTCACATCCACTACTATACGCGCCTCACCCGACACACGCGCATGCTACTCCGCCTCCAACTCAATCGCACCAAACCACCACCCCTGCATCTCACCAACAACCCAATCCATCTCCCACTGCTGCTCAGCCACCGACACCTGCCTCGGCGACACCCTCTGCCTGAGCCAATTCGGCACCCTCTACGTCGGCAGCTGCACGATCAAAGACTGGAAGGACGGCGCGAACGGAAAAGGGTCGTGTCCCAAATACTGCGCCAATGAAGGAAACGACATCGCACTGTGCAGTTGGAACAATGGCTGGGAGTTTTGCTGCGGGTTGCTAGGGAAAGGGATTGAGGAGTGTTGTAAGGGGGAGAGATTCAAGTTGGATGGGAATACGACGAGTGAGTTTGTGGTTCAGAGGCCTTGGGGTGTGGATGCTGTGGCCGAGGGAAGCGCTTCTTCATCTTCGAATCCGAATCCGAATCCGAATCCGATAGCATCGTCGGTCTCGTCGCAATGCCCTACTCTCCCCGCCAACGCAACCGATGACGGTAGTAGCGAAGATGACAAGATCACCGTCTCCCAGATTGGTCTGGGCGTTGGCCTCGGCATACCTCTGCTCATCGCGCTTGGTCTGCTTTTTTGGGAGAACAGGAAACGACGGCTTGCGGAAGCGAAGTTAGAGATGTCTCGAGGTGAGTTGCTGGTCGGACATGCGGGTCATGCAGCTTCGAATGAAGGTAAACATGGCGTGTATGTGGGTATCGAGAGTCACGAGGTCGATGGGTTGGGACAGAGAAATGAGCTGTCGTCTGACAGACCACTGTATGAGCTAGCGCATGGTGGCAGATAGCTCTCATGATACACGATGTATGATGCCTGCAAGCATGAGTGGATATGCAACGGAAAGAAGGTTGTCAATGTTTATTTGATTCATTGGTTATATCATCGTCTCTTTGTACATCCTAACATGCCCTAGTACTTTATACAGGAGAGTCCTGCTTAGCGAACTGCCTCGCGAGCGCCTCAATGCTATCTACAATCCTTTTGAACTCATCCTTCTGCTCTCCAGCAAGCTCTCCGCCATCCATGGCAGCATCGTCGTCCTGGTTGCCCCACTGGATCTCCATTGTGTTGAAGTCGACCTTGGTGTCTAGGCCGTAGACGTCCTTGCTGGGGTGCGAAGGGAAGCCGCGGAGTGTGGAGATGAGAGACATGAGCTCCTTGACGTCGTCTCTGCCATGGGATTAGTAAAGCGACTTTTGAATGAAGGGGATTGTGTGGGGCGTACTGTGGTACATCGCCCTTCTTCTCTGATGACTTGGAGTTGCCGTTGTAGTTGGACATGCGGATGCTGGCTGGGCGGTTGGGCTCGCCGATGACTTCGATCATGTGTGTGGGTGCGCCTGCGTATTATGTCAGTAAGAAAGCCTTGTCCATTCCCAATTAACGAACTTACCGGAGAAGGGCTTGCTAAGCACGACCTGGAACTCTCCAGAAGGCGGGGGTGCGACCATGCGAGGCATCTTGATATGTAGTGTGTATGGCTTGGTCTAAAAGGTATCGAGAAGTTTGAAGCTTTCGAGTCACAAAGTGCGTAACTGGATAATTGTTTCAATTGAAGGTGGTAGATGAAGTTTCAAGCGGGGTACGAAAGCGTGGTGAGGGGAGGTTTTGTAGCAAGTGCCATATGCCATCATCGCATGCAGGTACCCACACTAGTTTTGTTCTTGATGTCATGATGAATCGCGGCTGCCGATGTGGACCGCGAAAGTTTCCCTTTCTTTTCTCCACCTTTTGCGATGAGCCTTCTGCATCGCGATGCGATGGGAATGTTGGTGCTCAGATTCTGCAAGTGGTTTTGCTCGAGATCGTGTGTTGTCGCGTCGTCGCTTGACGCGTTACGCGTGAACACGGGGTATGACATCACCAGCCCTTCGCATGTCTCTACCCAACTTCGACACGCATTTGCTCGTGTCAACGCCTCTTTCACGGAGGCACCGTCTCGACATCATGCAGGAGCAACTTTCCAGGCCTGTTCTAGCTGCAACAAAGAAGCTCGGTCCGACGAAGCTCTACAGCCTCCCCACATTGAATGACTGCTTTACCATGTCGATCAAATATCCCGGGCTCGTTTGGCTGACCTTGACTGGACAGCACAAGCTTCAAGATTATATCAGCCAGCTCTTTCGGAAGCTTTTTACCCACAGCTCGATACACGTTGAGCTTCGTCTCAGTGTACGCATGTCTCTGTAGAAGATCAAGTACCACCGCAGTATTAACACGTACGCATCCTCTGCCTCTGCCTATTCGAGCGCTTTCTCTAGACGTGGAAATGTGATCGCAGAGGTGATAGTGATTGCAGAAGCGGCGAATAGACTGGCAAAGGTAGGCTGCATCGGGCTGTCGTGCTTGCGCGTCATCATTGTCTCTGCGAGGAGCTTTGCGCTGTCGTTTTATCGACACCAGAATGTTTCTCACTATTCTATCGATTTGACGATTCGCGTTTTGATGAGCCTCGTTGGAGAAGAATGGAGATGATCCATGCAGGCAGTCGAGTTTCGCATAGACGCAAAGGTCTAATGCTGGTAGCTCGCCGTCCTCAGCGACAGTAATGTGTTCAATCATGGCCAGCATTCGCGGAAAGAAGACGGTTCTGAACACATGCTGATGTCTCTCCAAGCGCTCATTCTGAGAGTAGATTTTCGAACGATGCAACGCCGTGCGCATCCTGTCTTTGAGATAGCCAGCGCATGCTTTGGCGTTCCGTGGTGGATGTGCCTGAAGTAGCACTAAGAAATCTTCATGCGTGATGTCTGTGGTTGCGCGCGAAGAGTAAGCAGAGAATCGTTTGCGTAGAGAAGCATTACACCCACCGACGGAGAATGGATCTTCATTAGACCGGCCATCGCAAGGAGACAGCAGCAGTTGTTCGAGCGTTGGAGCATCGAGGGAGGCAGTCCCGCGTAACTGTCTGAAAGGCTGCCATAGTTTGAGGTTGAAAGCACGATAGGCAACAGTCTTTCGAAAGGTGTGAGGAATTCGCTGCTCGCTGACGTCTAGCTCTTTTTGCGTCGGGCCCCAGGTTGGCGTCATCGACCCGACTAGCTGTTCGTTTATGGGTATGTATACACCCATTATTTTCGGGCGCGTGTTACATCGAGACCTCGACCAAAGTGTATGTAGCCAAGTACGAGTGGTGGTGAGATTTTAGCACGACCCTTGATCGTTGGCGCCGACCGTGCCGCAATGCTGCACAGGGCAACTAAGCTGACTTGGGACTCCTTGATATTTCACCCCGCAAAGGCTTACGTTTGTTACAACATCTTGTTGCTGGCCTGTTAGTGTTATGTTGAGAGCAGTGCTGCGCTGTCGATACAAACAGCGGGGTATGGGCTGTCGTGAAGCGCGCTAGCTCAAATGGCAGCCAGTAAAGTTAACATTACCAGACCATGAACACATGCGCAACTCGGGGTACCTAGTCAAAGCGATAAACTTTGTGACCGCTCCAAGCCACCCAATGTTATCAGCATATTACGGAACTGGTAGTCGATGACTATTGGGTATATTGAATTTGAGCTGGACCTGTCTCACACTCGCGGCTTCCACCTTACCACCAACCTACGGCCAATCATAGTGAGCTCATCTCAAATGATTTTTGCTTTGCCAGTTGACGGCTCATTCTCCTGTGCTACCGCACCTTCATTCCCATCGCCCTCAACCTTCCCTGGCTTCGCAAAGGCAGCACCAAGCAAATGAATCGGATTGTTCATCCTTGTCATCATAAGATAGAGCAGAGTAAGTCCTGTGACAACAACTTCGTCTCTCAGAGCCTCCGTAACCTCCTCTTCTGTCTCCTCAAAGTAGAAGTTGCCGACTTGCTTCATTGCCCATAGATTGACGCTGAACTTGGCGATAGATTCCTGGGTCGCGGAGTTTATGCATACGAAATCCCAGACTTTCATGGTAGAATTGGCGGTCCAGGTAATAGGGATGCCGCCAAGCGCATGCGAGAGGTAGTTGTACTTGGTCTTCCAGCGTTTCAGTGGCTTCAAAATGACTTCTTGGCCATGGATGATGCAATCGCCACTGATGGAGAAACTGTCTAAACGTCGGAGTACTGAGTCAGAGTGTGTCTTAGATGTACTATAGGCAGACTTACGAATGGTGCCTTTCGCGATGATGGTCTGATCTGACGCGCGCTCGAAGCGCAACTGAGGCTTTGCAGGGCGGAAATGCTGAACGTAGAGCGGCGTGAGCTGTTGATCAACACCTTTAGAAGCTACTACGTTGCGGAACTTTGACCAAGCGAAATCGACTTGGAGGGTGAGACCGCTTGAGGATAGAGGGCCCATGGACCCAACGGGCTCTGCGGGCTCTGCGAGCTCTTGCGATGCCCTTTTTGGCGGCTCAGAAGTGTTGGGAGGGAGTTCAGTATGGGTTGACATGATGTGCTAGTAGGTGCCTGATTTTTCGATGTTGGAATTTGAAAGATAAGCCGTAACCGCAACGGCCGTTACAAAAATTCGAAAATTGTCAAAGCGTGGTCACTCGGAGGTGGTCAAACGGTGAGGTGAAGGTGAAGACGGGCACTTTTGAGAAGGGAAATGCAAACGCGCACTAGAGGTGATTTCGATGTGCGTGATATGTGTATTCGAGTTTGCGTAGTGTAAACATTGTGCGTTTGTGTGCCTTGCTTAGCCACTCTTCTGGCTTTGGACGCCTTACCATGCCTCAATATTTCCTAGAACGGAATAGTGCTTAGCAGCACAGGGCGATGTAGTACAGCGCAGCACATCTTCAATACCGATAAAAGTTATGGGCTGTCTTATGAAGACACAGCTAAGGTGGCACGGAATTTCGAAGGCTGATCTGAGTGTCGCCAAAAACTATCTGTATGGACAGGTCGTGGGAAGAGGAAAGAGGCTGGGAGTGCAGCTGCACAGTGGCAGGTGGGCCCACTTAAGTGAGATGTCGTCATAGCTCACGGCCACCACTCCGTCGACACCCACACCCCACTCAGCATGTCAGCATCTCCACGCTCGCAACGAGAAAAACGATTCTCAGTGTGCTGTACGGCAGGTTGTGAAAGAGTTATGAAGATCGTGGGGCGCCTATCAGCCGTAACGTACACCGCTGGTCAAAGCAGCCCAAGCGCGGGGGATGCACTGCGGACAGGAATTACACTCCCCAGCATTCTCATCCGGCTACCAACCAGTATGGCACACTGGCCTGCTCGCAGGTATCGCATCGGTTTCAATACACCTCGGGATCCTTCATACCAAGAAAGGAGCTTGTCCACTATGCTGCATGACACCGCCTCTTCCAGACTTCGACCGGCGTCATTACTCCACGCGAGGAAGATCTTCAGCAGGTATCGTGAGTAACTTGGTGGGATATCTTCCGCGGACGGCTCAGACAGCAGTTTCGAGGCGGCTTCGAAGCGGCTCGCTTCTAACGCTGCGCTGTTTGAGTGATTCGGCAATACGGCAACAGATGCCCTCTCGCAGTGCGAACCACAATTCTCGATCACTAAAACACACCAAACGATCGTGGTCTCACAGATTAATCAATGATGTTAGAGTACTTGGCTGTATCGCCGGGCGCACTGAGCCTCCATCCCGCTCGCGTCAAGGGATAGTTACCCGCATGATGTGCAGCGCGGCAACAGAGAGACCCAAGTATCGCCCAGTTCTGCCAACAAAGTTGAGTGCTTCTTTTAGCTGGGCCTATCGCGCGTCCAGAGAAAATCAAAATGCTGGGCGATACTCATAATCTCCCCACGCCTGCAATGGGTGACGATTACTGATGATGCTCGTGCGGACGCGTCCCCAAGCCAAGTGTCGATCGGGATGCCACAGCTGCAGGACAAAGATCTGCAAAGGAGGCTCTGCTGTTGCGTTGTCGCAATGCACAACACCACTACTGGGTGTCGCGGTCCATTGCCTAGCAGGGTTTGTTCTGTATTTGGCACAGCGGACTTGGCGGACTTGGCAAGGAAACTCTGTGCAGAGCCACTAATCTCCGCCAAATCGAGACGCCCATCGGCATTGTCATGTTGAGACGCTTGCCGAGCCGCAATGCTCACAGCCGGACAAAAGAACCTGCGCCGTTGTGTGTTCCTCATTTGCGCCAATCACCGCCTACAAGGTCAACCTGTCTCAACAGCTCCTGTGTCTCAACCTTGAATGTTTCCCCGACGTCCACAGGTGTAACATGACAGGGTCAAAGGGAGCCTTAAGGCGGAAAGTCCCACACGTCGCGTTCGAAGCTAGCGCTACATGTGAGCTTGGCACCATCCGCCATAGCCCATTCACCGCTTGGCTCCGGTCGTAAGCCTCCTAATGGCGGGAGTGGCTGCTAAGCCAAGAATGTCCTGGCGGCTGCTGTTTCAAGTCAACGAAGTGCATTGTGTCCGTGACGCGTGTAAAGATATGAAGTAACAAGGCTCAGCACCCAAGAAATTGGAAATCGAGGCTGGCATTCCCTATCACTGCGCTCGCAATTCTCTCCGAACCAGTCCGGGAAATCCCTCGTTCTCCATCTTTTTGCACTTGCTTATATTGGTTTTAATCGACTTGTAAATACGGCTGGTCTGCTATTTACAGTTACTCGCTCCCGCTGGTCGTCTTCATTCCACACCCTTTTTTCTCAACCCTTACTGTTGTTCCTTCCGCGCATGAATCCTTGAACACACTCCTTCCGTCTTTTCCGCTTTTCGCCTACAGGGCTCTTCACCATGCCTTCCCTCGATGTTAGCGAGCTTAACATCGTCATCGCCGTTCTAGGTACGTCTGACAGACGAAAGTCGACAGGCAAACACTGACGTTCGACTGCAGGCGCTTTCATCATTCTATACGGCTTCATTTCAGTCAAGATCAAGCAAGTATGGTATCTTGGTGAAGCTTGTAAGTACACAATCGCCCGACGCAGCGCCGTCATTCTTCAAAGCAGTGAACTCATTCTTTACAGTACCTGCCGTTCTCATCGGTGTCATCCTAGGACCGATAGCTGCCAGATTCCTAGATGCGGAGAAATGGGGCTCAGCTGCCACGGGGCAGCAAGAAGCTATCACGCTGGTGAGCGCGAATTCACAAAACCCCAATATTGAACCCTGCTGAGCATCATATAGGGCATGTGCCGAATCGTCATCGGTGTGCAGCTGGTCATCGCTGGATTCCAACTCCCTGCCAAGTACCAACAAGCCCGGTGGAAGGAGATGGCGATCTGCCTCCTCCCTGTGATGACAATCATGTGGATCTGCACTAGCTTGTGCATTCTCGTCACAGTTCCCAAGCTTACCTTCTTGGCTGCGCTTGTTATCGGATCTTGCGTTACTTGCACAGATCCTATCTTGTCGCAAGCCGTAGCCAAGGGTCCCTTTGCTGACAAGTTCGTTCCTCGCGCGCTGCGAGAAATCATCTCGTCGGAAGCCGGTGCTAACGATGGTTTCGGTTTCCCTTTCCTGCTGTAAGTCTCACAACCCTCCAGCATAAGAAGCTTCTCTGACGAGTCGGACAGTTTGGCTACATACCTCATTCGCCATGCCGAACTCGATGGTGTCGAGTTTAAGACCGGCATAGAAGGTGCCAAGGAAATCGCTCATCGGGCAGTCAACATGCTCTCCAAGCGTAGCGAAGAGGGAGTTGGTCGTCTCGGTGGCGGTGTCCCAATGGCCATGGAACAGTGGATTGTCGAGGGATGGCTGTACATCATCGTCATGTCCGTTGCAATCGGTGTCATCCTCGGCGTCGCCAGTATGTTCGCCGTCAAGTTCGCCCTGCGCAAGAAGTGGATCGACTCCGAGAGTCTTCTGCTCTGGCCTATGGCTCTCGGCTTGTTCACCATTGGCGTTTGCGGTGCGCTCGGTACGGACGACCTCCTCGCTTGCTTCGTCGCCGGAAACGTCATGAACTGGAATGGAGTCTACCTCGAGGAAACCGAGAAGCGTCATGACGAGGTCAACAGCTGTTTCGATGTCATCCTCAACTTCGGTGGTTTCATGTACATCGGAACCATCATTCCATGGGCTGAGTTCCAGATGCCAGATGTCACCGGTATCACCATTGGAAGGCTCATGATTCTTGGCTTCCTCATCCTCGCTTTCCGTCGTATTCCAGCCATCTTCCTGATGTACAAGGTCATGCCCAACGTCGTCAAGGACTGGAAGGAGGCGCTGTTTATGGGTTATTTCGGACCCATTGGTAAGTTGCCTCGACCCTTTCAGATAGTAACGTGAACTAACACTTGTCAGGCATCGGAGCCGTCTTCTACGTCGAGCACACTCGTCACCTTTTCCCCAAGCCAGGCGAGGCCGAGACTGAGGAAGAAGAGAACCTTGTCGCAGCCATGATCCCAGTCGTCTACTTCCTCGTCGTCTTCTCCATCGTCGTCCACGGCCTTTCCATCCCCGCCCTCGATGCTTTCTACCGTTACAAGAAGATCCCAGCGATCGAAGAGTCTGAGCCCGCGGAGATTCGCGTACGATCTATCCACGAGGCCCTTCCTAAGAACACCAGGATGGACTCCAAGCGCGGCTCGGTCTACCAGCACAACCGCTTCTCTCGCCCAGTTTCCATGGGTCCTGGCCCGGAGCTATACAGGTGGAACAACCAAGTCAGGGATAGCGAGGCCACATTCAGGTCAAACTCCCAGGTCCAAGCTGTGGATTACGCAGAGAAGCTGCAAACTATCCGGTTCCAGGAAGACTATGCTCATGAGAAAGCAAACTTGGGCCGGTAGATTGGTGTAAGCTGGGACATTTGACATGTCGCACTCCCGAGTGGCTATCCCTATCTTTGGTGGAAGGCCTGTTGAGGGGCAATTAGAGAATCCGGTACGCGCCAAGGGTCAAGCAGAGGAAGCGCGCAGAAGGAAGGAGAGCCGTTAGAACAGTGTATTGGTTGGATCGCTCATTTTAGGATTGGAACACAATCAGGGTTGCTCCCTATCGTTTACCATGCTTTTTGTCACTCGTTTAGACTTGTACAACATAGACTGACGTTGAATTACGCGTATTTGTCCGCACGCCAGTCCCAAAACTACGCCCAATGCCCACCCTCACCACCAGTTTCCAAGTGCAAACTTCAAAGTCGTCACCACAATCCGCACGATAACATCAACGCAGGAATCCGACGAGACCCCCAGCTTCAAGACCCAGTTCCCCAGACCCAGATGTCAGGCCCATTCCCCTGTCGTTCACTGCCCAATCCGAAACAAGCCAAGAACGCCGCGGTGGAATCGCCAAGCCGTCATTGCCGTGTTACCCGTGCCGGTTTTCCGCTGTCCCTGTCACTTTCCTCCCCTTAACGCCCTCGCTCCCCGGAAAGGTTATCCATACAGTTTGAGTGTCAGGACTTCATTCTCAAACGTCTTGGGAGATTCAGTCTTTGTTCCCGATGAAAGAGGAGGTAATAATATGGAGATTATGTGTAGTTGCTAAATTGGG